CTGCTAATGAGCAACACAACGAATGCCTGCATTTGCAGCACATGCAGTTTGCAGCGCTGCAGACCACACATACACACTTATGGAGGCACACCCTAGGAGAAAACATTCAGAGGACCCAAACTGTAGCAACTTCTGAGAGGGAAGTTTGCACTGATATTGGTGATAAGGCTTTTCTTGTGCTTGAGAGGACAAAGATGTCACACCTTCTAAGTGAATTCATCCATGGCTTGTGAATTATAAATGATAAAGCAAGAGTTTGATAACCTGATCTCCTGTGGAGCTGTGGTGACTGAACACCCCTTCAAAGAACCAGTGAGCCGCCTGCTCCTAGGGAAGCAGAGTGAGGAGGTGTCACAGAATGGGGTCCTCAAGGATGGCCATGATCTCCTAAGGCCCCTCAACCATGCCAGTTTGGCCCAATGGGCACCCTCAGTTCCTTTTTCCCCAAGGATGCACCGTGTGGGATTTGATGGGAGTTACCCTGCCACGGGTAGTCCCCCCACATTAGCCAACCTTGGAAAGGTGCAATTTCAGTCGGGCAGGCCTCCAGGCTTTCAGGACCAATGGGGTCCTCCTACGTTATGCTCGCTCTCTCTCTCTCTTTCACCCCGAGCTCTGCAGAGGGGCAACTAACACTTTCTCCTTTCTTCCAGGAGAGTTCCCCTCTATCCACTGGGGTGTCTGCTCCCCTTCAACTCGGGCTCAATTCCGTCCCACTCCTACACGCCCTGTTCCTCCTCTTGGAACCGGTCATGGGGCTTCCTGCTTCCCTACGGCTCATTGCAAATCCATGAGCCTTCCCCAGATCTCCCACTGCCTTCTTAGGGCTTTTCGGGCATATTCTTCAGCCCAAAATTATATTTTTCCCCCGACTGGTGGGTCTGCCTCCAGCCCCCACATACACTTTTATGTAGGCCACACCCCCGACCCTTGCTGCAGCTAGCTTCCTTAGTGCCCTGGGAAGTTGTTAACATACACCTGGGGTCTCTTTCCAGGCCTTTGCTCCCCACCTTGTTTGGGTATTTTTGGCTGAGTGGAACCCCCTGCTCCCTTGTTTGGGTATGCAGCCTGCGTCTGGGATGGGGTTTGCCTCGGTGTGAGATTTAGCATCCCTCCTTCATTATAAAACTTTAGGCCCAGTTCTATTCCCTCCAAGGCCTCCTTGGGTGGTCGTCTCCTCTCTCTTATCTCTAGCCCTTCAGCCTGCTTTCCCTGCAGGGGCTCAACTAATCTCCCTCTTCTGGAGTCTCTCTCTGGCCCACCTTGCACTAGGCTTTGAGCCCCCTGTAGTCTCTGTTTCCTTGGTTTTGGCTGCTTCACCCTCTACAAGCTATCTTGGGGGATCAAGCCCCTGGTCTCGCTCCCTGTGCTTGATTGCACCCTTGTCCCCACAGTTACCATAGCTGTAACAGGTACGGCAGATGTCTGGATTCACTCTGGCTTAGTGGACACCCCCTGGTCATATCTGCCCAGGAATTCCTCCAGCGTCTGCCTTATTCGGTCCATCTCTGCTGCATGATTGCTCATCAACTGTTCCCATTTCTGGTTCAGGCACTGCATGAGTGCAGATAGGATCTTTTCCCTCATGGTCATAGGGTCTACCCCTGAGGATCCCCCTGTCATAGTGCTCTTCTCTATCTGCACTAGGCCCGCCTTGTCTCTCAAACTCTCTGGGCCTAGGTATTCGGGTGGCTTCACCTGTTCCAGAGGCCTCTGCCCTGCTAGCCGCGTAGTCTGTAGCTGTGTCTCCATCTCCTGCAAGGCTTCTTTCAATGCCTCAACCTCTTGGGATTGTCCTTGACATTCGGCTTTCACTACAGCTATGAATTTTACTAGCTGTGCTCCCAGCGCAACCAACCTCTTTTCCATTACATCTGTAGCCCCTAACATTTGAGGCTTCTGCTCTGCTTTGGTAAGCATTGTAACTCCTGTGGCATCTGGCATCTCAATCTCACAGGGACCCTGGGCTTTTGTAATAATCTGATCCCTCACCTCTTGCAGCTTTTTATTCTCTGCTTCCAGTGCCTGTGCTTGCTGTTTTGCAGCTTGCACTTGAAGCTGTAGCTGCTCACCCTCTGCACACATCACCACCTCTTTAGATGAGCTGCCTTCTATGAGGGCTTTCAGGAGCTGTACCTGTTCCCCAAGTTGATCCTTTTCTGTCTCCACCCTCTGCAACTGGGCCTGTAACCTATTGCTTTCCTTATTCAGGGCCTCTACCTCCTTCTCAAGCGACAGATTTTGATCCTGCAGTGCTTCATAATTTGCCATATAGGTTCATATATTTTTCAAGATCACCTTTCCCGCTTCTTCTGCTTGGGTATGGCTTTCCAGCAGTTTGTCCCGCAGCTCTTGTGCCACTGCACGTATGCACTTCTGTTGCCAGTCCTCCAACTCCTCCTGCAACACCTCTATTCAGTCCTGGCTGTGGACTTCTTTTTGTAGGATACCTATAAGGCTTCTTGACACTTCCAACTTTAGTAGCATCTCCTTCTCTTCCCCTGCCTGGGTTGCGCAAGCTTCAGGAGACCTTGATGTTCATGCTGCCATCTCCATTTGTATCCTCTGAAGCTTCTCTTCCCACTTCCGGCTCTTCCGGGCTTAATTCAAAATAAACTGTTCTAATGCACGAGTTCTCTCTGCTTCCACCATGTGACCGCCGGGCTTTGAATAACCACTCCTGGGCGGCCTTTGTTCTACTGGTGGATGTCAAGAACCTCCCGAGTTCATGTCATTGCCGGAGTAGTTCTCTTCTTCCCGCATCGCCAACCTTGTTCTCGCCTGCCACGACTTGGTGTTCCTCAGTAGGTGGGGTCAGTTGACGGGATACTCAGTGGCCTGGGGTTTGCCCAGGCCACTCACGGGGCTCCGCCACCCCTACACCCCGGCCTCACGCCTCCTTCAGTGCGCCGCCCAGCCATTACCCGCGGCCTCTGCTCACGGGGTCACCCTCTCCACTGTTGCGTCTAGAAGCCAGTGGCTTAAGACCCTGCTTGCCGGTGTGGGCCTACCCCACAGCCCTTCACACCTCCGTCCCTTCCTTCAAAGGTACATATAACCACGAGGGGGGAGCCCTGCCGAGGCTTCTCCACAGCCCTGCCCCTTGGGCACTTGCCCCTATCTCCTATGCCCCTTCGCCTGGGGTAACAAAATAAATGTATTAACCAAAACTGACCAGTAAACTATTCCCTGCCCCTTGCTATCCTTTCCCTCGAAGCCTACCAGGGGAAGGGATGTTCTCCTCTTGACCCGTCGCTTCCCGGATCTACTCCCATCTGTTCCTCAATCCAATGGAACCTGGCGGCAATACCCACCCTGACCACAAACCCCTTTAGGGCTCTCCTGGGGTCTTCACCCCATCGTGTCTTCCTCCACACCCCATTGTCCCGGCACTCCCACCTGGGTTCGGCTCTACTTCCAGGTGCCACTTCAGCTCCACCTCTGGCCGGCAAACCAGTTGCTCCCTCGTTGTCCGGTGCGGGCTTTCATCGGTGCACTCCACTCTCCACAGCCTGCATCTGCTCCCACTTGCCAGGCTCCCCGGGTCTAGTGTGTGGGGTCTTCCCTGCTGCTGGCATCAGTTGCGGCTTCGTTCCTCGGCTATCCTCCCCCTCTGCAGCAGCAGCCGCCATTTTTATTTCTGCTGGCCGGCATCCGATGCTGACGTCACCAGCCAGCCGTAATTGCACAAAAAGGTGGCTAATGAGCCACATGGGTTCCTCCTTCCGCCCCATGCACGTCCCGTCCTGAGCTGCCGGTAAGTGCAGCTCATTATTTTGACTCCCAGGACACACCGCTATCAAGCGCCTGACTTCTTTGGAGCCTCCTTCCTTTTTGCTTGCTTGTACCTGCTGCTCTAAAGCGGCAACCCTTGCCTCAGCTTGTTCTCTCTGGGATTGGGCTACTTCTAACTCCCACTCCAACTGTGCCATTTTTTCCTGCAACTCATCTACCCACAATAGCCAGGTGAAATTCTCTTGTCTCAGGCCCTCTATGTTCTCTGCCTCCGCCATGCCATGCCATGCCATGCCCTCTCTGGTGCCAGGATCCCCACGCAGCTGTGGGCCCCCAATGAGGCCTCCTCCTTCCCCAAATAGCCTCACCCAAACCACTGGTCTTATAAAACAGCAAATAAAGTATAAGCCCCTGGGCTATAACATAACACAAGCTGCATAAGGTGTGCTCAGCCCCTCTACATTACCTGGAGCAGAACCCAGTCAGGCCTCCTCCCTCCACTTACTCCAGGAGGGCTCCTTCTCCCTTGGATGTGAGCAGAGAACTGCCTCTTAGTCCCCATCCTGGGGTTTATATGGGCCCAGGGCCCTGCCCCTTCCAGCCAGCTAACCAGGTGCAGGTGCAGGTTAATTTCCTCATTAGCTGGTTGCCATCGCAACCTGGACCTGGGCTCCTGTCTTGCTCTTTGGGCTCTTCCCAGGCAGTTTCTGCTCTTTTAGCAGCAGGCACCCAAGTGCCCAGCGACAGGGTGATACGACCAAGATATGAGACACTTGGTGGTAGCAGTTGCTGGAGTCCAGAAAACAGGGAACCATTAAACTGGATATAGACAAGTATTGTAGAATGCACAAAACAAAAGATACTGAGATACTCTTGGAAAAGGTGAGTGGTACCAAATTTTCAGAGAGATGAGATTTTTGAATTGACAGTCTAATTTTAATAAAACTACTCACCATGTTCCTATGCAGATAAAGTTTCTGTTTGTTGACCTGTATGTAAAATTTCTACTGTCGTAAGTAGAAGCTGTGCATGCATAAGACCACTGCAGGACCAAGGTAAACATGTCTGACAAGAGCTTTTGAAACAAAATGTTTACAGTGGCAAAATGCTTTGAAACAAAATGTTTACAGCGCTTGGTATTTGTCATAATGCAAAAGAATGCCACACAGCTTGTGGCACCAAACATCTCATTCCAATATACACGAAAAAGGTAGAATGCCAGACAAGAAATGGGCATCTTTAAAACAGTGCCTTTTGAGACAACAATTACAATCAGACTTTTATTTTGTACATAGAAGTCTTAACTTTTATTAAGGGGATTTTGTGTTAATTTAAGGTATAGAATATGGCCCAAAGTGTATCAAAACCATAGCAATTTGGTAAAAACCTAGTTTACCATTCATAACTAAAATGATGTTAAACAGTTTGTTAGAAACATGTGCAAACAATTTATTGAAAAAGTCATGTCCTTCTTAAATCTGCTGTGCATATCAAAATGGACACATTAAAGAATGAATTAAAATATTTGCACAACATAATTTAGAACAGCAACAAATGCAAATATGATCACAATGTGTCAAAATGCATATGCTATAGGGGTTGGACCACATTTTATAGTTTCCTTTCTCATCCCAGTGAAAAGTATGTCCTATAATTTATAATCTGAGAAGACCCTGGACAGATGTGTACTTTTTGTTGCACTATCAGGATTATGCAATTTAATATATGGACATATTTTGTTACTCCATTCTTTTGTATTGCTCAAGCTGTTCAAAATGAGCAAAATTGGCTGTATTCCTATGACTTTGAATCCCTCAGCCTGTTGATAGTCTTTGAGAGTAAGGACTGGTATAGCCAGCTGGAGCTCCCAGTGCAAAGGACATGTTAGAGGAGGGCAGCTAGATACATTCAAAATGGCAAGTAATTCCTTCAGGATCACACAGCATAGAACACAGCAGCATAAAAGAGAATGAAAGAGCCATGTCCAGCCGCCAATTCTCTGCTTTACAACAAGCTTTGCCCTCCAGTGTTCTCCAGATTACTGACAAATCTGTCCCTATAAAATAAAATTTTAAAAAAAACACTCACTTTTCCTTTTACACCAATGTCCATGTTGATTGACACACTCTAAACAAAATACTAAGAAATCTTTTCTTTATGGTCCACTCAGGTTCTTCTGTTATCAGTCAGGACATAACAGGCAGATTTTAATAATATTGTACTACCTGATAGTTTTTCCATTTTAACTTGCACAGTACAGTTTGGTTTGTAGTTCTGTTTAAAGCTCCAGACCTTTCCTCTTCACCAGATTGATACATTATTTCCTCATTCTAGTCTCCTGTTTTGAAATACTTGGGAGTACTCATATGAAAATGATGAATATGTTCATAATTGTGTCCATCTTTGTAGGATCCAAACCTAAGCAAAAATATTAAGTATTGGGTAAAATGAAATATTCTATGTAATCAAACTCTGCCATTTTAAATCGTAATTAATATTTCATCTTAATTATTGCTGGTATTAATTTCTTATAGCAATATGCCATAATTCCATTTGCATCATGATCAACTATTGTGACAAATCAGAATCTAGTCAAGTGAGAAAGGTTTAACAGAAGCATTTAATTTCTTATACTGTGTATTCATGTAATGGGATTAATGCCCTGGACATTGTATAAATAAAACTCCAAGTAACATGTTTTGAAGTTTCACTTTTTCACTGAAGTCCTAGCCCCATCTTACCCTGGGGGGTTTGCACTGTTAATGTTTCACACTTCTTAGTCTTAAAAGCATGCCAACCTTAGATCCATGGATTCATATATATTTCATACCACATTTAAACTGTATGTCTTAACCTGTGTTTGACTACAATGGTAGGTGTGTTCAGACAAGGAAAACCAGAATGTTTATTCACAATGTCAGCATTAGACATGTAAAAACCATAACAATTTTCTTTTAAAAGTTATATAGGAGTTAAAAAGAGTAAGACTTATGCTTTGGTGGTTGTCATTGTCCTGCTCTCAAGCAGCAGTTAAAGAATTTCGAACAGGAAATAATTCTACATTGAAATCAACTGAAAAATATCTGGACTTTGAATCCTGATGGTAGGTAAGTTTCAACATATGGGTAATGATCTCAATATGTGAAAAACAGACGTTGAAACTTACCTCAAACTTCATTACCACTTCTGATTTCCCACCTGCTCTCATTTCTCTTACTTCCTATGCATTAGCAGGAAAATGGAACCATCCATGGAATAAATGAGACCTTCCTTAGCCACAGGAAGATCAAACTTTCACAGTATTCTCTTTGTCATTTTCCACAAAGCATATAAATAAGATGCCTCAAAACTCTTTTCCTTTAGCATTTGTTCTGACTACTTGTTATTCACAACTCATATTATTTTAAATGGTCTCCATAATGAATATTTTGCATTTATATTTCATTTTATATTTCAAATGATAGTACATTATGGGTTTCATCCTTGGAAGTGCCACGGAACATACAACATGTAACCCCCATTAAATTTCAAAAGGATTGCAAATGCTCATAATCTCTCAGGATCAAGTCCTAAGCATGGGGTAACTTACACATCACTAGTGTGGGATAGGCATTAACTTCAATTTTCAGAGCAGTACATGGGAGATATAGAAAAGCTATGAGACTTACTCAAATCATAAGCCCTATCAGTGGGGGGGGAAATCAGACTAGAAATCAGGGGCTCTGACCTCCCGATTTTGTCCCGGTCATATCCCATGTTGTATTAAACAATTTAATTGATGCTGTTGTTCTTTTTAAATACACTTACCTGGGATTGAAATGAATATCCTCAGGAACTTGGCTGGGGTTGATGACAATTTTGTCATTGTCAATATAATTACCTAAGTCATCTGGAATCCGAAACTTAGCCATCTGAACTTCTGAATCACTTAGGCCAGCATGAGAAATGCGGGCATAACCCAACCTATCAGGATACAAATGCAGAATTGCCTTGAAACAGCAATTTCATTACATTAAAACTTTGTAAATCAGGGTCACTCATAGTTACCATTGTAACTGACCAATATCATTCTTTCCATTCCTAAAGCATCTGTGACAGGAGTATCTCGCTGGAGCCTTTCTGTTGGTGGCTCCGCGTTCCTGTGTTGGGCTAACCGCCTGCTTACTCGCCTGCCATGCCTTGATCTTAATTGATTGAGTGTTGTAATTAGCAGGAGGCTGCCCACTTTATATGCCCAGTGTCAGGGGGCGCTATCTGTGGCTCCTTTTCCTCCCTTACACTGCAGCCCAAGCCTTGCAGATGGTACTCGACATGGTTTGCCCTATGCCTTGGCCCTCTTCTCTACTTCTGGGGCTCCCCAATGCCCCCTCTCACTCTGGGGCTCCCCAATGCCCCCTCTCGCTCTGGGACTGGGGTCAACACACCCCCAAACGCTGTGCCCTCTATGGCGCCAGGGTCCCCACGCTACCGTGGAGCTCCTATGAGGCCTCCTCCAACCCCTAATAGCCTCACCGGTCCTCCGGTTAAAACGGTAAAACACAAAAAAACCCATAAAACCCCTAGGCTATAACATAAAACTAAACCGTCCGGTCAAAACCATGTTCTATCCCTACCAGGAAAATACTCCAACTCATAGCCACAACCAGGGGATGCTCATGCAGTCTATCTTCTCCTTTCTCTCTGCACTGTCTGAGC